AAAAAAAAAAAAAAAAAATATATATATATATATTTTTTTTTTTTTTTTTTTTTTTTTTTTTTTTTTTTTATTTATTTATATATATATATATATATATATATATATATATATATATATATATATATATATATATATATATATATATATATATATATATATATATATATATATATATATATATATATATATATATATATATGTATAAACATAGTAAGCAAATAGTAGTATAGTATATTAATATATACTATAATAATAATAACTATAATAATAATAATAATAATAATTAAATACAAATAATAAATAATAAGAATAATAAATCAGATTTCCATGTAATGATTTTTTTTTTACCGGAATCGTAAAAAAATTAACAAAAAGTATCGGTAACGTATCGAATTAAAGATTTGTGGTATCGCCCATCCCTGACTCATACACTACGGATGATTTAGTTTATTCATTTTACCTAGTTCAGTCGGATGAAATTGTACGATTTGTATGAATTGTACGGCACCTAACCCCACCCCTAAACCCAACTGTCATTGGGGGATGAGCAACGTACAAATTAATTGTACGAATTAGATCGTACAAATTCATTCGAATTAGCCACTAAATCAAAAAGTTACGAACTGCCGTGAGATTGTGTTGGTTTAGACTGTTTATAATAATAATCAAAAAATAAATAAATAAAATTATATATATATATATATATATATATATATATATATATATATATATATACAGTTAAAGTCAGAATTATTAGCCCCCCTGAATTACTAGCCCCCTTGTTTATTTTTCTGTTTAAGGGAGAGTAGATATCTTTCAACACATTTCTAATCATAATAGTTCTGATAACTCATTTCTAATACCTGATTTATTTTATCTTTGCCATGATGACAGTAAATAATATTTGAAAAAATATTTTCCAAGACACTTCTATACAGCTTAGTGACATTTAAAGGCTTAACTAGGTTAATTAGGCGGGTTAGGGTAATTAGGCAAGTTATTGTATATCGAAAAACAATTTGCTTAAATGGGGTATTAAGTTTTACCTTAAAATGGTGTTTAAAAAATTAATAACTGCTTTTATTCTAGCCAAAATAAAACAACTAAGACTTTCTCCAGAAGAAAAAATATTATCAGACATCCTTTGAAAATGTCCTTGCTCTGTTAAACATCATTTAGGAATATTAAATGCCACTTAAATATAAAATGCCACTTAAAGACATTTCTCATGAATATTGCTTTTTTAATCGACTAATATACAAGCTGCAGCATCCTACGATATGCAAGTTGTCATTCATTCATTTTCTTGCCGGCTTAGTCCCTTTATTAATCCAGGGTCGCCACAACGGAATGAACCGCCAACATATCCAGCAAGTTTTTACGCAGCGGATGCCCTTCCAGCCGCAACCCATCTCTGGGAAAGCCATACAAGTTATATTATTTATAAAAATAAACATGAAGACAAATCTTCACCTTGGAAATATATAAGGTTCTATCTGAGTTCTGAATGATTTTGAAATAATGAGCTTCAAAGTTTTTGCAATCCATAACAAACAGCATGTGTGTAACATTTGTAAAAAAAAATTAAATTAAATAAAAACATCCCATAATATAAATAAGTTGTTAATTAATAAGAATATGTCAATAACTCAATTTTGACAAAAATGTCAGATAGAACCTTATAATTCTAAGGTGACGAAATGTATTTCATATCAAGTTTGATAATTTGATTCATTTTTTCTGTTGATTTCAAACACAAACTATAAGCTTTGATTGAGCAGATGGATTGCAGTACGTGGCGGTTCATTCCATGAAACAATCACCTAACAGCAAGTCATTGTAATGTTTTCTCGCTGAAGGACAAGTCAAACTTGCTAAATTTATTCAGGGGAAAAAACATTTTAAAGGTCAATAAAACAACAACGGTTACATTCCTTTAATGATGCTTCTGAAAATAAGAAACACGTTTTTTCACTGATTCAAAGTCAGTTTGACAACGTGCAGACACTTTAAGGAAAACATTTCTTCAGAATATTGCTTTTTTTATTTACATTTACATTTTACATTTAGTCATTTAGCAGACGCTTTTATCCAAAGCGACTAATATATTAGTTGACTAATTCGTATAATATATTAGTCGACTAATTCGTAATAATATATTAGTCGACTATTATTCGACTAATATACAAGCTGCAGCATCCCACGTCACATAACTTGAATTACTCATAAACATAAAGCTGCAACTGGAGACCAATGTATTTCAACAACAGGTTTTTGATTTATTTCTGTCGATTTCAAACGCTCAATCAGCTTTTTTTTCACATGCAAAAACAATCAAACAGATGAACTAAAAGGGTCGCAGTTTACATAGGCTGCAGTATATGGAGATTCATTCCTCGAAACACTCACCTAACAGCGAGTTGGCAAAGCCGTACCACACGCATCCAGTGTCCCCGATGAGCCATCGCCCCTGCGTGCTCGCCGCGAAGCTGAACGGCGTCCCCAGAACGCAAACCAGGAGATCGCTCAAGCAGATGTTCACCAGCAGAAAGTTGATGGGGGAGCGCAGCACCTTGTATCGGCCGAAGAGCACGAGGACCAGGAGGTTGTTGAGGAATCCGAAAGTCCCGATGAATCCCAAGCTCACCGCCACGAGGATGTGTCCAGTCGGACTGAGGGTGCGATAGGAGGAGGACGCCTCCAAATGTCCCTCCACTGCACCGAGACACAGCGCGCTGTTCCTCCTGCAACTGAGCACACTCAAGTTGGACACAATCATCGCAATCCGCAATCCATTGAGCACAATAAGTCACTGCTTTGTTTTCTGAGGGGAAAGCGACACATTTGATGTGCTGTTTTGACAACAGTCTGCAAATCTAATCGTATTTTTGCTGAAGAGTTTGGGTGTTGCGCGACGATTATTTAGCAATTGCTCAACTTTAAAAGTAGGAATAAAGTTTGGCGTCCCTTTGCTCCACCGTGTGGTGTTTACAGTCCTGATGTGCGGTGAAAGTGTACTGTTGGTGTAAGTAGTGTACCTCCTCTCTGACGCCCGAGTCTGTCTGCTCTACTGAGCTTTACTGGACGCATCATCCAGGTTATGAGCAGAAAACCTCTGCAGCACATCTGCCCGTCTGTGTTTTGACGCACGACGCAATAAATGGTTTGCAATACATTAATTTTCTCGCTCTCGAGGGGAATATTCAGAGATGGGGAAGTCAGTGTGACATTCATAACTTCATTTGAATCGCTTATTTTTGTTCGCACGCCTGATCGCTGTCCATGGTGCTCAAGTTTGCTCCACGAGGGGAAAAAACATCGACTTTTGAGCAGTTCAGGGTTTTTCCAAAGCGTCGACTGTGATAAGGAACGTACTTGTGGTCTGGTCGCTGCACTGTTACTCAGGGTTGCCAGGTTTTACAACAAAAGTACCCCAGTGTCCTTTCAAACTAGCCCAAATTCAAGCCCAGTCCCTGAACAGTGCCCTCACACTTCACATTGAGGTAAAGTTGGTTTTATGTTCGCACGTTAATTCATTTTTAAACAATGACAACTTGTGACCCAGTCTCTGTTTTGTACATTTAATATTGAATTAACATGCAAGTATGACTTCTAAACAACATTAACACATTTAATTGACTGTGCTTTGATATTGGCTGCTAATATCATTTCCCTACTTAAAATTTGCAAATAATACCTTTCTGAAATTATAAAGGACAAAGTTTAAATGTGTGAATATAAAACCAACTTTACCTCAATTCACTTAACGTGTTTTTTGTAATCATGTGATAAGCAAATGTGACCCTGGATATTAAGTAAATGTCCTACTGTAAATATATTAAAACCCAATGTTTGTGTTCAAGATGTTTTTTTAAGACAAGGAAAAGTTTGACATCGATAACTTAAATTGAATTGCTCATGTTTGTTCACATGTTTGGTCTGAGCGCTGTGGTGCTCAAAGTTTGCTCCGTGAGAAACAAAAAACATCAACTTTTTGAGCAGTTCAGTGTTTTTTTAAAGCGTAGACTGCATGGGAACATGCTTGCGTTCTGTTTGCTTCGCTGTTACTCAGGATTGGGCAAAACCCCTCTAAAACCAGCCTGGTCGACCAGCTAAAACCAGCCAACCAGCCTAGGCTGGTTTAAGCTGGATGTTTCAGCAGGGAAATGGTCAGTTAAAACTAGCCCAATGTCCATTTAAACTAACACAAAAAACAAACACCTCACTTCACGTGTTATTGTAATCGCAAGATAAGCAAATGTGACCCTGGACCACAAGGCAAAAGAATTATTCTGCACACTTATGCTTTTGGTTATGTTCAAAATTACATTTGTTTTGGGTCAAAATTAAATAAAGATTTTGTAATGCAAAATTTCATCAGGATTTTAAGTAAAGATCACAGTCATGTTCTATGAAGGTATTAAGTAAATGTCCTGCTGTGAATAAACCCGTTGTTCGATTAGTAATGTGCATTACTAATCACTAGACAAGATTAAAGCCATTTTCCTCAGTATTTCTATTTTGTTTTTGGACTCTCAGATTCCAATTCTTTTTTAAATCATCCTTTTTTTTCTCGGGTTAGTTTGTGTTTGTGTGTGTAGGTTCATTAACTCACTTTAAAGGCAATAAAAAGAACATAAGATTTATGATAAAGGAAAGTTACTGAACGTACACATAGAAGCCTGAGAAAAAAAGTGCAAAACATTTATTTTAGTTTAACTCTCAATCTCTCTCGAGGGGAATGTTCAGTGAAAGACAAGGGCTAGTTTGACATCCATAACTTAAATTGAATCCCTTATTTTTGTTCACGTTTGGTCTGAGCGCTGTCCATGGTGCTTAAGTTTGCTCCATAAGAAAAAAATCATCGACTTTTGAGCAGTTCCGGATTTTTTCAAAGCGTTGACTGTATGGGAACGTACTTGTGTTCTGTTGGCTTTACTGCTACTCAGGGTTGCCAGGTTTTCACACCAAATGTTGCCCAAAGGCCAATCAAAACTCAACTTAAGTCCAGTCCAGTCCATGAACAGCGCCCTCACTTCATGTGATTTATGTAAGCAAATGTGACCCTGGACCATAAACCCAAAGACTTATTCTGCACAGGTAATTTTTGGTAATATCCAAAAAAATACATTTTATGGGTCAAAATGAAAGATTTTGTTATGCCAAATTTCATTTGGATTTTAAGTAAAGACCATAGTCATGTTCTATGTAGGTATTAAGTAAATGTCATTCTGTTAATATATCAAAACCCGTTGTTTGATTAGTAATGTGTATTACTGAGCACTAGACAACATTAGCCATTTTCCTCAGTATTTCTATTTTGTTTTTGGACTCTCAGATTCCAATTCTTTTTTTGTAATTGATCTTTTTTTTCTCGGGTTAGTTTGTGTTTGTGTGTGTAGGTTCAGTAACTCAATTTAAAGGCAATGAAAAGTACCTATTATTTATGATAAAAGAAAGTTAATAAACTTACTGTACACATAGAAGCCTGAGGAAAAAAATTCAAAACATTTATTTTAGTTTACTCTCTATCTCTCTCGAGGGCAATGTTCAATTTAAGACAAGGGCAAGTTTGACATCCATAACTTAAATTGAATCCCTTATTTTTGTTCACATATTTGGTCTGAGCGCTGTCCATGGTGCTTAAGTTTGCTCCATAACAAAAAAACTTTGACTTTTGAGCAGTTCAGGATTTTTCCAAAGCGTCGACTGTGGTTAGGAACGTACTTGTGGTCTGTTCGCTTCACTGTTACTCAGCGTTGCCAGGTTTTACAACAAAAGTATCCCAGTGTCCTTTCAAACTAGCCCAAAACCAAACCCAGTCCCTGAACAGTGCCCTCACTTCACACGTTTTTTTTTTTTTTTTTTTTTTTTGTAATCACGTGATAAGCAAATGTGTACATTAAGTAAATGTCCTACTGTAAATATATAAAAACCCAATGTTTGTTTTCATTTGAATCGCTCATACTTGTTCACATGTTTGGTCTGAGCTCTGTCCATGGTGCTCAAGTTTGCTTCGTGAGAAAAAAAACGAACTTTACCTAATATGATTGAGTTTTGGCATAAAACCCAAATAAATAACCCATATTTATACCCAGGGTCATATATTTAAATTGTCAAAAAACAAATGTATTTATATATAAATATATATATATATATATATATATATATATATATATATATATATATATATATATATATATATATATATATATATATATATATATATATATATATATATATA